CAAACCCTTGATCATTGACTACGTCATGTAGGCCTAAGGATTGTTCTCTTGTAATGCACGGATCCTTCATACTAGTATCTGATTCAAAAGAAACTTTATGGAGCAGAAACCCCTCAAAAAGGACTTACTATTAAATTTTATCATAGATCCTGATACACTGTTTTATTTTCCTTGGTACTGTGATGCATTTTTTCCTTCTGTAGCTTTCAGTTTATTGGCCCCTTTCCTAAAAAAAATAGCCCCTAAAAAAGATCTTTAGGGGCCACTTTGGCCCTCAAGTAAAATTTTCTGGCTGAAACACTGCTGCACCATACTTTTTACCATGCAAACCATTTTCAAGAAATCTTGTAAAGACAAATTCCAGATCCTTGTTACTGGTGTCTGTCTCTCTATCAGCCATGACCGAAATAAAGTGTGATCCAGTCAGCTACTAAGGTTAACCAGACAAATGCCCTTTTCCATTTTTGTCAGAATGTTCACACTCTGTTCTTGTTTACATTTTCCTTCATACTGCTCCTGGAGTCTTCCGTAGCAGTGTTCAACACTATGCTTTCTATACATTCATTTTTGTTTTCATCAATCTCCTGTGGACATCTTCTTCACTGTACTTTTGGGTGGCAGTCTTTTTTACAAAATCCATGCAGCAATCTCTGCAGCTGATCTGTATGACACAGGGCTGTCAATAAGGGCCACAACCTGTAACACCAGTTACAGCTGAGTATGTTTGATGAACCCTTGATGTTACGGGTGAACTGGCCTGTAGTTGATACAATTCACCCATAAAGTAACAAGTTTGGTATAGGTGTGAAGATCAAGGCTACAGGTGAATTAAAACTTAATGACAGCCTGGTGACAAACAGGGCACACTGATCATGAATCAGCCACTTCCACAGGAAAAAAAAGACCCAAAGCAAAAAAGATGGCAGAAGTAGTAAGGTCGTGTCCACTTCTCTTCATCCCATTAATAGGCCTGATTGCCTTGAGTTCTGTGAAGTAAGGATTTTCATGTTGATTGTACAGTATCTGTTAAAACGAGAAATAGTTCAAGACAGTTCTAAAGCAATCTGGTGCAAAAAGAAACAACATCAGCCTTTCATAAAAATTAATACTTTTTTTAAGAGGATTTTCTCTGTATGATAATTTTAAAGAAATTTTCCTTAGCATGTCTGGTTTCTGGGATGCATGTTTACTAACTACTAACCACTGGTTAACAGGTTACCATTAAATTTGAGCACTGATAGCGAAAACTCTTTACTGATGAGAATTTTTATTAGTATTGCTGGTTGCTAACTAAAGGACACTAATCGTAAGTCTTTGCCAGAGCATGAAATGCCAGTTTCGGGCAAGGTTTCAATAGTTAACATTACTAATCCCTAAACCTTTCAGATATGTCCAGGATTGAATGCTGATGAGATTCAAAGTCCTTATGATGAGCATCACAATGTGTCCTCATTGGTTAAAAGTCACCAAAACACACACAATTCTGTCAAATATGAAGTAATATAAAAATGTCAAATAACCCTGCCAAATATGAAGTACTAATTAAACAATACTTGCATTCAATTGTGGACATACATGTAAGCGAAACCTTTTGTTAAATCTATACAGTAATGAGAATTAAATGAACAAAAGTAAAATTCTCCATCAATATTCTTCTCATAATGTTTGTTATGTTAAGGATGGTGCCTACTAAATACAAAGGTTTTTTGCACTAGGTTAGGACCATGCGGAAAGAGTAGATCTTTGCAAGGGCTATTGGAATCCCCAAAGAAAAATTGGGGGTAGCCATGCATTTTTTCGAGATAATTAGCCTCAAATCTCAACAAAAATGCTGACATCAGCATTTTTCTGAAAAAAGAAGGAAAGGATATTTCTTCACAGATTTCCTTAGAATTCGCCTTTACAGACAGAAAAGCAAACACATTTATAAAGATCTTAAAACTACATGGTAAATGGTAACATAAAAACCATTTTTGGTATGTTTTTAATAACAAAATCGTTGCAAAGGCGCTTTTAGGGTCTCTGACAGCCTTCCTCCGGTTCAGCTAAAATACAGTCTAAATACCTTTTGCTCACAACCAGAAACTAATCACGTGTTGAATAGGCTTGCCACTTCCATTTCATAATATAAAATGTAGGGGTAGCTACATGTTTTTTAAAGTTATTGATCTTTTTTGAAAACCTTTACGGTGTCCGTTACATATTTTCCTGGCACCCCCAGTCAGTAAAACATTTGCGTATCTTGAACTTGTTATGCTCGTGCACTACGCCATCTGCAGGTACATGTTTACAGTTGGATTTCAGCATAATTTGCGACAGATGACAGCTAGTTTTTCAGCTGGAAGACATAAATAGTTAGTGGTCAGTGATATGCTGTTATTCTGGTGTTCCTGGTTTAAGTGCAGGTTCATTAAACTTGATTTGGTCACAGTGGGGAAATTTTGCTTTCATTTTAGTTGTGTACTTGGACGTGTAGTTGATTGTGTTAGTGTCAACTCCAGTGCGTGCGTGGCGCTTAAACCTACCTTGCGTGATGCGCAGAATGTGTGTGCACTAACAAAAGTAGGCACCGTCCTTAATTAAGCAAATATGGTACAAATTATCTTGATAAAGTAAATTGCGATTCCTTTTTCTAGATTGCAAAGAAATTTCATTTCTTGAACTGTAATGATTTCACTTATTAGTCAAAATTCAAAAGTTGGGGAATGTAGGATTCAGCCTCTGAAAATTTGATGAATGCTTGCTCTTTTCCACTCCTGTCATACAAAAATTACTCTTGCTTGTCCTTAGGTACTATGTTGATGTTTCAGTGGATTTCAGTCAGCTTTAAAGTGCAACTCTTCTTGTATAATTTTTATAAGTCACACCCCCGAAGATAATATTGTGTGTAAATATTACCAAATAGCTATAAAGAAAATTTCCCTCCATCTATCCCTATTACTCAAATGGGGAGAAGGAACTTGTGATGATGATGATTTGATAAAGGAAAGTTCACTAAATGCTTCAAAGTGTGCATTTTAAGTAGTTTGCTTATAGTTGGTACTACCAATTTACAGTATATACAATGATGTACATGCATTATTTACAGATGAATTGTTTGCTAAAGTAATGTGTTAAAATGTTACCCTTTGAGTTCCAAATAAATAATGCAACAATTTGATGACAAACTAAGAATTAAAACAACATAATAATGAAATGACTCTTACTTTAAAATGCAACTAAACCATTTAAAAACTAATTGTTTCAAATTTGTATGGGATTTGTTTCTGCAATGTGTTATTCCAAAAAATATCTTTATCCCCATTGAAGGTTTTTCAGTTTGAACCCGGCCACCCATCTGGAATTTCTTTTCCAAGGGGTCTTTAGAGCATCACACAGTATGAAAGAAATGAAAAGAATGTGTAGTTTGTGGGCTTCATGTGCATTGAAAAATTGCTAGGTAGAAAACAAAGTGCCACATCAAGACATCACATTCATCTTGCTATTCCTACACACTGCATTGCATCATATTGTCCCAATAAGAATTTTAAACTAACTCTGAGGCCATAAACCTTTAATTTTATCCATAATAATTTAAATAAAATGTTAATTTGAAATTGCTTAACATGTTTTTTTTGGTTCTTATCTACTTAAAGTGTTTATTTTTTAGCAGAGGACTTACATTTATTTCTTCCTCTTAACCCCTTAACCAAGTAGACAGCTTCAAGAAATGGAAAGGTTGGTACCTGCATTAACTGTTCTTGCACAATCGAAATGGCTCATTCTAATTATAACTCATTTCAAGCACGGATATATTGACACCAATCATTAAATAAATAGTGTTCACTTTAATAGTTACTTTTTCACAAATTAATTGTTTCTAAACATGGTCTGCACAGTAATTATGTAACTAACAATAATTACATGTAACCTTATGAATTGAACACCTTAATTAAGGCTTAGCCCTTTAATCCCAAGAGCTATCAACATTTCACAAAGAATATCATGAACGTTAAAACATATTTTCTTGACATCTATACCACCAAAAAAGAATCCTAAAATGTCACAATACTTGGGACTAAACGGTTAGCTTTCATAAAATATATGGGGCATAAATGATTGTGTTCAAAAGTATTTATTTACCATTGCAAGCTTTAGGAATGATTACATCACACTTGCAATCAGCATTGATTACATCAGCATTGTCACTGACCAACAGTGACTGTATGGTTACCATGAAGAACCACCGATGTGTGAAACTGTGTGACAGCTGGAACACTTTTTTGGTATGGTGAAAAACTGTCTCAGTGTAAACAAGAAGAGACAAGAATGACATTGGCTATTGATAAGAAAACCTAATGATGTTTGGAACTTCATTACATGTAGTTATTAAAATTTATGGGTTTTTAATGTAGGAAGTAAACAGCTATTGCACCCCACTAAAGATGAATGTTACACTCTTGACTCCAAAATGTTATTCAAGGGAAGTTTGACTCAAGTTTTCAGAATCGTAATCATGTTTTATTTACATTCAGTTGACTGATTTCTCAGAGGTGGGAAATGCAATGTAGCATGTTTACTTAATTACTTGAAAACTTAAGTGTATTCGCAAAAGCTTGAGATTAAAATTTTTTTAAGCACTCAATCTTATCACAATACATGAGCCATTAGCTACGAAGTTTGTTTCTTTTTTTAAGGGTGGGGTCAGCTTTTGAGTAAAAGGAAGACAATGGCTATTGCCTACATGCACTTTGCATCAGCACAAGATTATTCTGCGTAATATTTCTTGGGTACACTGCAATTCTTTGAGGCACTTTATCCATGATGTGGTTTATGTAGCTGGACCAGCCTGGGCATGTCATATTTTCAGAATTATACTTTCGAGATTTGAGTACTATGCTACTAAATGACTGCCATCCTCCTTCTGTAAGTGGACACTTCAACAGTTTTGTGGTATGGGTGTCCACCAACAGGAGATTTAAGTGTATAGGCAAACTTTGCTTCATGAGTGCATAAAACCATGGTACAGCTTTCAAAGCAGTTTGTCACTTACTGCACATGCGTAAAATATATATGCCATCAATATGTTCTGCATTATTAACTTGTGGTTTTTTTCAGTGACCGATTGAAAGAGAATTCGTGGAAAATGCACTCAATGGTTTTGATTAGGTTTCCTTCTGTAAAGTGACTTGTTCAATATTTTTCTCTTGAGGCATGTAAAATGAAGTAGTGCTGGGATACATTCAGTGCTAAGTAGACTATAATGGTCACAAGAGCTTTCTGAATGTACATTTGTATGTTTTGTAAGAAGGTGGTGTAAAGTTAAATATATTCTCAGTTCAATGCCGTGAGTGTATGGTCATATTTTTAAACAAGGGTCACAAAAAGCAGAGTCTTGTCTGATGTGCCAGCAAGCTCTGGTGATGATGGGCCTTAATTGGAAGTGTAAAATTTGTTGCACAAATGACAGATTTGTATAATAAAGAAAATATACTTTATACTCTTCTGAATAGTCAACTCATTAAGCCATTTCTTTGCAGTCGCACAAAAGCAGAAATAGATGAATTTGCCAGTGTGACCTTGAAAGATATTTCAATTGTGAAGACATTAGGTGTTGGTGGCTTTGGACGTGTTGAACTGGTGAGTTAAGTATTGAACTGAATTGATCACAAAATTGATTAATAATTATGTGGTGCCAACAGTCTAGTCTAGATATTGTTGCTTAGGATTCAGCAGTCTAGAACATCTACGTCTATATCCACTGTAAAACACCCATTTCACATGTTTTCTCTTTTAGAAGGTAATTGTCTTTGAAAACAAAGCAATGGAATTGACGAAATTCTCGAATGTCATCTAATGTACATTATATAATTGGGCACACCGCAGTCGCCATTGGCGGTTGACTTTCTCTGGGTTACTCAGCAACTCTACTTTTAATTTGCTAGTCCTCATCAACATTTCTTCCTCAACTGGATCTTCAGTGTTGTCAAATTCACTTGCAGTTTCTCTTTTGTAAAGAGCATGTTAAGCTTAAGCAGAGGCGATGAGAATTAAGAAAATTTTGTTGACTTTCTGTGTCACTCTTAAAATTGCCCTAAAGTTTACACGTCAAAGCTTTCATAGTTGGGACAGAAGTGACAAATTGTAAGCGTATTGTGCCGTCTTTAGATTCAACTGGCCAACGACAAGAGAACCTTTGCTCTGAAAACGCTAAAGAAGCACCACATTGTTGAAACAAGACAGCAAGACCACATCATGTCAGAAAAGAAAATCATGATGGAAGCAAATTGTCCCTTCATTGTAAGGTGAGGTGGTTAAATTCGGTTAAAATTGTTTGCCAAATTTCTAAGCTTACCTGCAATGGCGCCTCGTGCTCTGAGGACGTCACTCTCTAGTTTGGGAAGCTGCCTTAAGATCATTTAGGTCTTGTTCAGTTTCCAAGTACAAATCTTCATGCGTTCCTTGAAGTCGAGCTCTTGGAGTAAATTGTCGACAATTCCGACAAAGGTGATATGAGCGTGTTGAAAAGTTTGAGTGAATTATCAAGCACAGCCAAGGAGGAGATTTCCCATGCTTTGGAGGGCAGCATGAACGAAGGCCATTTTCGTAAGGGGTCGATTCCTTTCAACCAATTAGGAAAGTGCACGAGCACTTACGGATATGCCGGAATCAGCCGAATGTTCTCCGGGTTTCTCCGTTTTCGCGCCATTTTGGTGCCACCGGCCGGGGGGAAAAAAGTAGTGTCGACGGAGCTTGTATCGTTTACGTTTTCTTATAAGTTTTCTTTATTTAATTTTTCAGGTTATATACAACATTTAAGAATAGTAAATATTTGTACATGCTTTTGGAAGCTTGTCTAGGTGGCGAGCTTTGGACTATTCTCAGAGACAAGTAAGTTGTAATGATAGTTTATATATTTTTGAAAATTAAACTGACCCTCTGACACCATTTTGGTCGGGGGACCAACACGACAAAAAATACAGTAAATGTATTGGAAAGGTTGAGAGCCTAATGTGTAACAATTCACAGAAAATACGAATTTCGAAAATATAGTAATAAAGGGTAAAAGAAGTCATTCACTGGTCAAATTTGAGGGAGAAAGCGCTCCATACATTGGCTTTCAAAACCGAGCAAGTTCGCAGGAAAATTTAGAGACAGTTGTAAGTAAAATTAAAAATATGGTTCCTCGCCTACCAGCACAGCTGTGCTCTTCATATTTGATCAGGAAAATCAAATATGGTATCTCAAACCTTGTAACTCATAAACACTTCAGAACATTAATCAAGTTCAAATGACGCTCAAATGTCTGGACCTCGAGCTTCCAACTTTTACCTTTTATACATTTTGTGTGAGTTTTACCGTGTTTGCCCCAGGCAAGATGCCGCCTGGAGAAAAGGAAGACCAGATTAAATTTTAATGAAATTTTTTTCTAGGTACATGCCTTCTAAAATTCCACACTGAGTTTCTTTGAATTGTTCTACCATAGGGGATCATTTGATGATGGAACCACGCGGTTTTATGTAGGTTGTGTAATAGAGGCCTTTACATATCTTCACGAAAGGGGAATCGTGTACAGAGATTTGAAGGTTTGTACGGTATTTTTCTTTTTTATGTTTTCACGTTATGTTGGTTTCCCGTTCCACCTGCCCACACTCTACTTATGTACCTCTCCTTTCTTCCACACCTTACTTCCCTATAAGCTTATATGGTCTTATATCGTTCCTCAGAATGAATCGGTTACTGTAAGTGTAGCCTTTCAGAGCAGCTTTGACGTGTTGAAACTGTGTTGAAAGTCTTGCTAAGCTTTGGTTTTGCATATCACGCTTTTTGAGTGGGTTTAAAACTCACACCTCTTTCTTAACCAATCTGAGGTAGAATCAAAGCCAATCACGTGATTTGCGCTCACGGGTTTTCCTGCGCTTCGCACCGACTATAATTGCTTCGAGTTTTAATATTGGTTCGCTCTCGTTCGCTGTAGTGCCCGTGTTCTTTGTAATTGGCCAGACCGATATTACTTTATGCCTTTAGGTACACTTAATAAACCTGATCTATATACGACCAATGATGAAACAACTGTACTCGTGTTATTTGTCATCGACCAGCAAGAATTTGTAGAGAGTTGTCACTCACCTGGCTGAGTGAGATGACTGACACCATTTTTTAAATCTTTTTAGCCTGAAAACTTACTACTGGATTCCAAAGGTTATTGCAAATTGGTAAGGTTTCATGCAATAAGAACGTCTTCCGCTCTGTCAAACCTCCATGGTTTCATTGTGTGCTATATAGAGCTTTACAATTTTTCTAGTAAAGTGAAGATAATATATCATGCTCTATTCTTTTCGAAAGTGGGAACTGGATGTTTGCTGAAATTAATACCTAGTTGTTTTAAAACATTGTCAATCATATACAGTATGCTACTATCTTTCCATGACATGGCATTTCCAAGACATATGAGAAGCTAGGATTTTTAAGCCTATTATGTCTAGTTGATATATTTGTTTCTTTCAGTTTAAGTGGCATGCCTGTGAACTAGCTAGGTGTAGCTAAGAGCATTGACCACCATGAAGAACAACATTTCAACATTTTTTTAAACAGTTTTTTGAACGTTTTTTTCCCTGTAAACAGATGAGTTGATTCTTTTACTTGTAGGTCGACTTTGGTTTTGCAAAGAAAATAGGCTCTGGACGGAAAACGTGGACATTCTGTGGAACTCCGGAGTATGTGGCGCCAGAAATAATTCTTAATAAGGTAAAACTGGGTCAGGTTTCTCAACACGTCCAAGTGAATATTCAAGTTTTAAAATCTCGGATGACAAATTACTCCTTAATTTTGGCGCGAAATTCCAGCGTTAATTTATAAGTTCACAAACGAAATGACAAAATTGACATGTCAACGTTGTCGAAAACCCACGATTGTAAAGATGCGGGAAACTGTTAGAATTTTGACAAATGTACGTGAAATTGTTTCCTAATTTCACTCGTTACCATCTGATTACTCACACTTAGTTTACTTTGTGGGAAAGTGCACAGAATTACCGTCTTTTGTCACTGCTTATTCATTGACAAACCTTTGCTATCCTCCAGGGTCACGACTTATCAGCGGATTATTGGTCTCTAGGAATTCTTATGTTTGAACTGCTTACAGGCAGGTAAGTGACCTCCCATTTCACTTGTACATCTTTACAGTTATTCCAATCCACGACTTGCTCACGTTAGGTCGCGACTTCAGAGAACTTCTCTTTACATGATGTTGCTTTATATCGGTTACCGTAATCAATTATAAGCATTCCTTCTTCTCAAAGAATTTCATCATTGCCTTAAATTTCTGTTTTCGTTTTCGTACTGAACACTTTCAGTCGCTCGCTAATTATCGTAAGCCAATTGAAGTCTGTGTATTGCTAGTGAAAACTGGAAACAACGCGAGTGAAGATGACCATTTTTGTTATCCTGAAGATCTATCGATAAAATCACAGGGAAAACGCAGCCTTGCAGTCAAGAACACATTGTTCAAAACCTCATAAAATAATAGCAATCTCAAATTGCTCTTGACTCCACTTGTTAAGCAGGATTTTTTAATCGAGTCTAACACACCATCTGGATTCTAAGGTTCAGCGTTCTTCAGTCAAAAGGAGAGTCATAATAAGAAACAACTTTTTGAACTCCCACCTCCTGGAAACCATACTAAAACGATATCGCCGTGTTTTTCGTACACGGAGCAAGCGCGGGAAGACCTTAGAAGATATTCTCCCAGTTTTCAAAAGGTCTTCGTGTGTCCTTTTGTACATTGCTAATATGTTGTTGTTGTTGTTGTTTTGTCTTTGACAGCCCTCCTTTCACTGGGTCAGACCCAATGAAGACCTACAACATAATTCTCAAGGGAATTGATATGATTGAATTTCCTCGCAAGGTCCTTAAAAATGCGCATGCCCTCATTAAGAGGCTCTGTCGGTAAGTGCAGGTCTTAAACAGAATATGCTGTGATTTTGCAAGCTTGAAGCCGTGTAATTTGATAAATTCTGTTAAACCTAAACTAAGAGAGGTCATGTAAAAGTCATATTATTTCGGATTTCTGTATAAATTAGTTTAGATTTTAGGAGACCCCACTGTTGGACCAAAAATGCTACTTTAACCTTTTGTGTCTACCCTGTTACACTGTTTTATGTATAATCAAATTTTGCCAAAGGAACATCCAGTAACTAAAGCAGCGGATATAGGAAAACCGGAGAGACCGGAGGCGTATGTATAAATAGATAGGGGAGAACAACCCTTCATGGATCAGCACGTGCTACAGCAACGAAAGTCATAATTCTAGCTTAGGCCAGCTGTGCAGTACAAAGTCAGAATATCATCCTGTATGAGCCTCAAGGTTTCTCACAGGGCATCTACTCTGTCTTTTCTCAGAGACAACCCCACTGAGCGACTCGGCTACCAAAAAGGAGGTCTTAAAGACATCAAGAAGAACAAGTAAGTGGGACTCGTAAAACCCAGCCGACGAGGACTCAATGTGCAATCTCCGCGACGATTGTTTTGTCGTTCTTTCCATTCTTTACCCGCATTGTTTAATCCGTTCAGTCTGAAGATTGTACCGAATTGATTTGCCAGCAAACTGAAGAAGTCGCCATACAGTTTTTCGGCAGACGTGAGTTTTGTAATCCTGCGTGACTAGCCTCGATCAGGTTGCCTTCTATCCATTCATATCTGGATAGTGCCTGAACTTCTAGTTTTCCCAGCGTTCAACAATCAATAGGAAATCATACGATAAGGCAACTTGCAGATTTACAAGTAATGATGCACGCTTTCCCTTGTTTCAAACAACGTTGAAAACTACGTCGTTTGCAAAGCCGTTCTACGTACAAACAGCTATTGTACGTTTTTGCCATGTGATGAGATAAAGTAATTTGACCACCTCTGACACCATTTCGATTTGTGCTTAGGTGGTTTGATGGTTTCAACTGGGAAGGTTTGAAGCAGAGGAAACTTCAAGCGCCAATCATTCCGAAGGTTTGTTTAACTTTGATAGTAATGTCTTTGGTTGCCTGATTCCAGTGTTGAAACTTTACAACCGTTATTAGGGTTTCTCTCCGTTAGAGGAAAGAAACGTCGCATAGCGAGCCAGATAATGGCTGTGCGAGAGGTAAGCTTGATCTAGATTGGTTAAGATAATTAATGAAAGTGAAGCCCGGCCCAACGATGTTGCGTGTTGTTGGCTTTTGAGCCAACAACACCCAACGTTGCACCAGAGTGTCCAAACGCGCGCAACATATTGCGATATGTTGCGTTGAAATGTTGCGATTGTTTAGCAGGGGCTTAACGTTTGTGATACACTTGCGGCTTGTGCTTTCGTGACTCTAGGATGATACTTAAGGTGGTTCCTTTGGGGTGATCTGGTTCAGGATCAGTGATCCAAGATCACACGGATCATGGTACATCAAAGGAATCGGTGAATCCGTGACCAGCGTGGATTCATCGGTTCCTTTGATGCACCATGATCCGTGTGATCTTGAATTACTGAGCCTGATCCAGATCACCCCAAAGGAACGCACCCTTAGTCAAAGGCTACTGCACTAATTTAAGGTCAACATAGAGGAAGTCGTTGACTCTCTTCAATTTTACACTCAGATCAAGTCTCCGACAGACGCATCAAACTTCGACGACTATCCACCTGATGACGAGGTACCTCCTGATGACTCGACAGGCTGGGACAAGGATTTCTAGCCGTCCAAAGTGTCGCCTCGCGTGTGCTGCTGCCCAATGGAAAGAAAACAAACCTTTATTTTCTTCGTGTACAGCAGCAAGATGGCAGAGTCCTTTCCCGCTGACCTTTCTGCTCTTCTTCTATATCCTTAGTTAGATAATTCTCATGTTTGAATACTTTTTTCATGCCTGGGAAAATTCCAATTGGTCGACTTTGAATCCATGCTGTGTGACGTTAAGTCGCCACAAAATAAACAAAGAACTTGAAAACGTTAAGGGAGATTACGTCACTGGTGGCACATTTTGAAAAGTTTAGCCCACATTTTTCAAGTTCCTCGTTGGCAGTCCACCTTTCTTTTCCGTGTATTGTTACTTCTATGGTCTTTCTGTACGTTTGTAAGTTATTTTCAGGTTCCTTCCATTTCAAGGTTATTTTGTAACCTGATTCACCTTGTGAAATAGCTCCATTCGGTCATTGATCTCAGCCTGAAAATTTGATATTTGTCACACTGAACGTGTACTATTGTCCAATATTTTCCCTTGAAATTACAATTATTGATGAATTTGAGCTGTAATGTGATAGGTTTTCCTCCCTTGCACAACCCTCTCTCTTCTTAATATAATTTGTCTGCAAATGCGGTGGTTAAGAGAGAGAGGAAGGGGGGAACTATTGTTTAAAAGTTGAAAGCTTCAGTTGAATTAGAAATGATGATGATGATAATGATGATAATGATAATAATAATCCTAATATTTTAACAATATTTTATTCTTTACTGGTTTGCCTTGGAGAGTCGCGTAAGCCAGGCATAACCACATATTTTTCAATGATAAATCAATGTAATTACGACTATCCGTAGTGTTAAGGCAGCCAACCAAACTAGTTGTAAATGAAGAAATTCACAGTATCTCCTCCAGAACGTTTGCGAGTAAAGAAACACCATGTATCTAGTACATGGAGAAAATCGGTTAGTGGGACATCGTTTCCAATATTCTTTCAGATCAAGGAATATTAGTTATGTAAATAATTCAGTCATATTAATGCAGATAAAACTACAAAGCGCTACTCTATGTTGGTATGATTTTTGGTTAACTCTCCTCATTGAATTACTTCGTGCTTTTTTAGGCGTTTGTCAATGTGTATGACAGTGTAATAGGTAATGATAACGAATTATCAAGTTATGTCGCTAAGATTGTCGGGCTCTTAATTTAAAAGGTGAAAACGAACAAGATTCGCCTAAAACCGCACCACTAATCCCATTCACGAGGAAAAATAAAAATACTCTGTAGGTTGCTCTCACAGTGGACTGTGCAAGTTTAGCACAGCTATGGTTCGAACGACCTGACTGAGCTGAGCTTGCTGTTACTCTGTCGGTAGCGTCCTCCTCGCATCGGGTATTGCAGGATAGCCCCGTTTGTTAGAGAACTGAAATAGTCGAGATATTCGTTCACGGAGAGCAAAGAGCTACACTTGGTCACTTCGTCGGCCGAGCAAGTTTTCTTAGTGTATATGAAATGAATTGTCCAGACGTTAATATTTAGACAAGTCGTCACGTTTTGATCTTTGGCGGCCTGAACGATTCGTGATTTGCGATATAAACTAGCCTTATTACCAGACTGATTCACGGCTGATTCACTGACCGACTCATTTCATATCCTCTTTAGTCACGCGTAACACTCTAATCTAAATGGCCGTTTTAAGTTCATAGAATGGCCTCTCTTAACCTTTGAGTAAAATGTTAAGAATAAGAGCACTTGGGCATAGAACGAACAGTCAACAACAAACTATGCAATCTTGTGACTGTCAATGAAATTTCTGACAATATAACCGTATTTCAGAATGTCAGGTTTCAGTTTCGTCTATACTGCTGAAGAAAGGTTGATTATTTCTTATTTTCAAATCGCGAATTTAAGGAAGTGAACAAACGTCTACCTGACTTGAATCGATTTTCTCTTCTGTTCCATCATTGTTTTTGTACCCTACGAGTAGAATTCCTTTGGATCTTTCAGGACAGATCCTTAGGGAACTCTGCTCACAAGGTAACTGGAGTTTTAAGAATGTTTTTGCTTTAAGAATTTTAGACCTTGCTTTACATTATAGGAGACTTTTTTAAGGATTTATTTATTTCGGAGGTCCACTCCGGAAGAAATTGTAATCGTTAGAAATTGTGCAATGATACACGGTGGTTTTGATATCCATATCCGTGAAAAGAAATGAATTATATTGTTGGTAATTTTGTATTTATTCCCTCAAGTGCTGCTAATCGTAAAACAATAGGACAAACCTGAGTAGTGAAAGCATCATTAAATTAATTTTTTAACCAATTCAAGACAACAGTGTCCGTCTTGTTGATATGCTGTGAGTTAAAGCATAGTTTATGGGAGGGGTCTCCTTTAAAAAACCATATATATCACCTGCCTGGAAATCATGGAAGGTGACACCCAAAATATCATCAAAGCACTACTGTGTGACCCTCAAACCTACCAAAATCGCCAACTTCCAAGTTGCCACCCCTAAAATGTCCTTTCTTGTTCAATCGGGAATTTTGATGTCTGGGGTCCTTAGTCACGCAACTTTCGTATGAAGAGAAACGTTGCGTGAAAATACTAACGCATGCTTTTCTCCCATGCACGTCTTACCGGCTACAGTGAGTATGCTGCAAGGAGACTCGCCGAATTGCGAGATTTGATGTTTTCAGTGTCGGCCGTTCGTCGGAACAAAATGGCGGGTGTGGGTAAGCATCGTGAGTGGAACGAAATATTCCTGATTCCTCCGATAGCTCAGTTGACTTGTACTTGGTTCACAATCCTCCGTCGTGCTCCGACGGATATATGGCGGCTAAGGGGACACTAGCACTTCAGTTTTTAAGTTTGTTAGAGTAACATAGTTTTTAGGGATAGTTTGGTAAAGCGCCTCGGGCAAATAATGGATTTGTGCACTATGTAAATGAGCTATTATTATTATTATTATTATTATTATTATTATTATTATTATTATCATTGTCATTATCATTATCATTATCACTATCACTATCATTATCACTATCACTATCACTATCACTATTAATGTTCTTGTTCTTGTTCTTGTTTTTATTATAATTATAATTATAATTGATACTTGGTCAAAGCAGTGTTAAAATTATGACTAAGTACTCTCAGAACACTATAAAGAGGGGCCTGAAGGGTCAGAAAGGGTTTTTTTTTTTCCAGTGGGAACTCTGGGACTGAGACTGGGACGGGTAATAGGATTCACACCCTTGTCTCCTATTCAAGACAACGTCGAGACGTGAATCGTTCAAGGGCAGGGGAAATACAAATATTACTGATTTAACGACCTTTCCAAGGCACGGCGACAGCATTTGACCAAACGATTTGAAAACACCACCTTGTCCAAGCGTAACTCATTATCACACCATTTCAAAGTCGTCCTCACAACAGCATCCATTCTTGCCTTAAAGTTGATAATTAAATCGCCGGCAGATGCAGTAGTTAACGGCTTTATTCTTGGTATCACTGAAGGCTCGAATTTCTGTAATTTGCTACAGTAACTGTAAACTCTAGAAGAAATTCTCACATTTTATTTCATTTGAATACAATGTTATTCAATTGATCAACAGCGCACATGGCGAGAAAGCTAAAACTAAGCCAATAAATATCTAGGACATTCACATTAAAATACCTCGTACAATCTTTGCATTTAAATTCAAATATGGTGGGATGAAATTTAATTTAACGATTAAATATTTATTCCTTACACTATTATATTTACGTCTAGGTGCATAAGACCATTTTAAATATGTACTGAAAAAGTTTTTCTGGACTATTGTCCAATAAATTGCAAGTAAATGCTAAGTATTCCTATAATATTCCTATCGTACATAAATTCCTGTATAGGAAACAATTCAATTTTATAATACATTGTTTTATAATCGTGTGACGATGTAAGACAAATATTTAATCATCTTATTACAAATCGGGTCAAGAAGCACAAGATGAGGCCGAACAAACATCCATATCTCGAGGTTTACGTTACCGATGTTGTATGGTAACTTGATGGCGGGCGGGGGGAGGGGTCGAAGTCCTTTTCCGGACCTGAAGACCTTGCGGGGTAGCCTATGTGTCCCGCACCTCCTCCTCAAGGAGGGGGGCGGGTTGGTGGTTCAACTACACGTAGGCTAGTTTTTTTTTAGGTTAGAAATTCAGAAATTCATTCTAAACCGTCTGCTTTAGGCCTAATACGACTTTACAAGTTGACCTCACTCGTACTTCCCCGTCGTACCCGTGAGAGCTCCAGCTAGGTGTTGATTGGATGACAAGAATCGAAAATTCTAAGAGTGCTTCAACGAAGCAAGTTCCCCTTGCTCAGTGAGCATACTAGCCATATTTCGTCACCAAAAGCGAACCTTGAATTGTATCGGAATTAAGCATTTTAGTCAAGACGTTTTAGCTGTGATAATGAGATGCCTCAAGGCCTTGGTTAAATTTGTTCTAAGAAAGTGAACGGACTTAGGAAAATTTTTACAGTCTAAACAAAAGAACGAAGACAATCCATTTTACAGTTGTCTGTTCAGTGACCTTGCATTTGAATGGCAGCGAGGCTGGAGGTGAATCTTTTGATAAAGACCACACTGTTTTCGTTGTGTAAATTAAGTTGTTCTTATGCGAACTAGTTTGCATTTACATGAGAAAAGCAGAGGTCTGTATCAAAGCAGGGTCACCTCCAGCCTCGCTTGCAGTCATAGGCCAGGTAACTAGGCACAAAACTGTAAAATGGCCTATTGCACAAACACTACCTGAAATGTGCAAGGCGATGCTGTAGGAATCCCCTCCACGAATTCAAGTTGTGATTTAAGTGACTCTCGCCTTATAGTAAGGCAATCCATTAGTTAAATGCAATTTAACACGTTTTGGGTAAAAATATTAGCCACCCACATGACCCTCTAAGATAAACGTTACAGTTCGTTTAATAACGCCATTTCCACGCTTTTGACTGGTTCAAGAACGGTCTAGAACGGACTGACCAATCAGAAACAAACTAATGTCAAACTGTGCAATATATGTATCCCGGATGTAAAACTTAACTTTCCTTAAACATATAGAAAACGTATTAAGATTCTTGTTGGAGGTAAAAAGAAAACAAAAAAAATTAAAAAAGAAACCAGTATGACTTGATGTTCACATTTTGAGCAGTAAGTAATTGTGAAACAAACGAAGATTATTTGCTCATCGCAACACAAAACTACGGGCTGTAAAACTTGAAACAAAAAAAACCTAGTATGATGAGTAAAAGCTGACTTAAATCTGTATTTATGCCATTTAGATCATTAAGTTATTATCTTTCTACTGAATGGTTCTCGACAATTACTGAGAGGTTTCATCAGATTTGATGTAAGATAGCAAAACATGGCTCCTTTCATTACCACCCAACTCCCCTTCCTTTCGTCGGCCGTTACTAAACCTATGTAATACTCACGCTAGACAGCGTGAATTGACCTCTTTGTATACTCAGCGGAGTACTAGGTCTTTTTGGTGTGCTTTGCTGACCTTCCAAGTCCTCATCTGTAATACTGATGCTGCTGCCATCATGGCTCTCTGGCGGAAGTTCCTCGTCAATTGAGCATTCTTTCATCAAATTAATCTTGAGACGTGTAGCTTCTCTCTGTGATTTTATGACGGGACTCGCTTCCGTGCTCAGCGGACCTGCACAAGTCTTAATGATGTAATTCGCCTCGTGATTGGACGAATTCGTAACGTGGGGCGATTGCTTTTCAGATGAAGTTCCTTCGTGTTCGCCGCTCAACCCCCGTGTGAGCTTGTCGATGTTCCCGTATCGGATGTAGTTCTCATCCATTTCAGCAGACTCTGGATCGGAGTAGGGACTGGAAACACGTTGACTAGCATGACTGCGGAAAAACTCTTTGGCTTGGCTCCGTCGCTCTCCTTTGGGCGGCCGATGGGGAACTGGATGCGATAGAGAGTCTGGTAACTGGTGGGTGTCTGACAGAATGGGCGGGTTTTGCTCTAGGGACTGGGAACAATGAGATAAAGTAACTCATGTGGTACCGATTAACAACAAATTTATATCACTGTGTGAAATTGTTTACCGAATTGTTTTTTATTGTTATTTTAGGAGATATTACCATTGGCCTGTTTATAATTCACGGAATCCGCAATCAACTAGTTTGAGAGAAGAAAGCGGCAATGGTTACCCTACATCTGGTCGGTTAAAAAAGAACAAAACGAAATAAAAATGCTTAAACAGTATTACCTCATCAGTTGTCGCATTTCTCATTTCTTCCTCCGAGTCTGGAAGTAAAAGGAAATAACACAATATTAGGATATACGAAGAAACAACGGAATTGGGATTGAACGAGGTCCGATTTCTGTTCAGTCTTGATGGTGATGGCCTTTCTAAGGGAAGGGGAGAGGGAGAAAGAGGACAGGGGACAAACTTTTTTCCTTTTTCCTTCCCCGCCTATGCTCCCGCTTCCCTCCCTTCCGAAATCCCTGATACTCGCCAGTCGGTTTAGGGAATAAGCAATTTCTGCTTAAATTATAATCGACATATATAACAGGCCGGTCATGAGAATAACTGAACTGATCAGCCGGAAAACATGGCTCTGATATACGATCAAATTCTTCCAAAAAGTTGTGAGGAGAATTTGAGCTTTAATCAGGGCTCGAAGAATTAGATACACTGATTGCACATGGGAATTTAAGGGCTACTTGAATATCAGCCAAAAATCAAACTCACCCGAGTTCTGTTTTTCAGCAAGATCTTGTTGATTTTCTGGTGAAGAACAAGTCAGCTGAATAACAGGAGCACGACCTGACGAAGGTTCGTTTGAGGTCGCTTTCTTTTGAACGGGAGACTGGTTATTTTCTCTCCTTGGAGGGACAGGTGGGGGAGGCAGAAACTCTTCCTTCAGTACACTTCCAACAGCTCTTTGTCCACTATGTCGCCTTCCCTCCCTCATAGATGGAGCAGCAGGCTGAACTGTTCGTCCACTATGGTGAGCTGCACTAGAATGAACAGGTGACGGGCTCGAACTAAATGAAGTGGGCGATTTTGCTTGTCTGGGTGGCAACGGAGGTGGATCAAATTTCTTCCGCGGAGGGAGGGCTGGCGCAGGTACGTTGTCCTCACTGTTAAACGCACATTGGCTGTCAGTCATGTCAGCGAGAGGCGCTAAGTGACGTTCAAGTTGGCAAGATCCGTCAATCATGTCGTGACTTTCGTGGTTTGATTTCGATTTTTCATCCCTTGTGTCCTTTTGGGCCTTATCATGCGGTACAGATTTTTTTTGTTTTTCCTTGTGAGAGAAAACCGGATGTTTAGCTGTATCATCAGCTAAAATGTCATCTTTCTTTGGTGATTCCTCTTTACAAACCTTCTTGACGGCAATGTCATCCTTTTTAGCGACCTTGCGTAGCATCTTAGAAGCGGAGGAAAACTTAAGCGCGACTTCAGGTGATTCTTTGTCCTTTTTCAATTTTTCTTCTCTGGATGTCTTACGGGGGGATTTCGGTGATGATTTGGACGTTTTTCTACTCATCTGTGGTGACGTTTCTGGAGTACTTGGTTCGCTTCCTGAAAATCGTCCTTGGATATCCATAGCATCGCCAGGAGAAAGCGAATCTCTGCGGGGTTTTTCCGCAAAATCGACTTCGGAAACCTCTCGTGTCTCGTTGCTCCCTCGCCTCGGTTTGGGCGCCAGCTTCCACACCTTCTTGACGAACTTACTAGCCTTGGAATCTTTCCTCTTGGCCATCTCACATTGTCCGTCCTCCTCCACATTCTCGGACGATTTACAAAAAATCGAGTCGTCGGTACTTCCTCCGTCAGCAATCAAACACGATCCGGGGTCGTCTACTCCGCTATTTCGCCGTTGATTGGTGTTGTTCTGGGCCTGTTCCGTCTTCTCTAGTAGCCGAGCCTGTATCGCAGCCTCGCCAGTCAGATGACTGGTGTTGATGTTTGTCTTAAGTGGTAATAGCAGTGTGTGGGGATCTATGCTGCGCATGCCCTTGGCGAAGAAAGTTGACCGATGAGCAGCCGCTAACTCAGGCCGCCTCTGATTCTCTTCAGAAAGATCCCCGATACACGAGGAAGATGATCGCCTCCGAATCACGTCGCCAGGATCAGCCGGACGAACTGGTAAAGGCGGTGGACCCGGGCTATGTGCGCGGCTGACTAACCCTTCACACGTGGATTTACTCTTTTCGATCACCGTGTGTTTCTTGTTAGTTAAACGACTCCCTTTCCCACCAGCTAAGGTGGTCGCTTTTTGCTGAACGTCACCAACAGTCTCCGTAGAAACTGTTCCGATACTGTTCCGTTTATGTCGCACGGCTGGAAAGAGTTCGTTCACATCATTCTGTTGTGGCTTCTCCATCTGAGCAATAATTTTCTCAAACATGGTTTTAGAGGCTTCGGGATCTCCGGCTCTTAGTTTATCCAACAAAGACTGCCGTGAGCCTACTTCGTTCCGGGAATCAGCAGAAAGGGAAGCCTCTTCCGTGCTGGATTTTGGCGGGAAAACATTTTCCGACCTAAGCGCGTGCTCTCTCTGTAACTTGGGTTTTGGCGGGAAATTACCAGAGCTTGGTTCTTTGATTTGTGCAATTAGACTCTCGCGCATTTTTCGATTAACACTTCCACCGACATGCGAAATTTTCGGGCTGCCGTTCTTCACTGTGGTCTTGTCAACGGGGCAACTCGATAAACTTTGGTTGCCGGAGATTTGGCACCGATGATTTTCCGTTCCCTTTTCGGACTTAAAATAATTTAAAACATTTCCATTTCCATCGAGGCTGTTGTCCGCTGGCCCCGAATGCAACGCTTCACTTCTTACATAACCTTCAGAGTCCATCTCATTTTCTTCAGGAATCAACTGTGCGCCTGAGAAATTCCTAGGAAGAGAGCTATTAGAGCGCATGCTTCCCTCTTCGCTGCCTACAGAACATGAGCTCGTAAGCGAATCGCTGGAAGTCTTACGGCCGTGAACCGGGTCAGAGATGTGAATCGGCTCGGCGCTCTCGTCGACGAGCAGATCGATGTAGGCGCTGCCTTCCGACTCTTCCTTGATGTCGTCAATTCCATCGATTTCGGAATACGGTTGCCGCGTCAGAAACACGTCATCATCACTTGCCTTTTCAACAGAGGATTCCGTTGCGGACCGTGGTCTCGAGCCATTACTTGACGCAGATCCATCACTTTCAATGTCAATAGTAACAGCTCTGCCGTTTTGTTTTTCAGGGAGATCTTCCTCTATGGTTCTTTGGCCAGGTAACGGATTGGTCACAGCACGTCTCCTGGCGTTATCCTTCTCCTTTTGTAGGGTACTCATAATCCTCTCCGGGGGCGCGGTCATAGTTCTCGGAAGCTTTCGGGATGGGTGAACACTTGGCGGAGACTTGGACGCACTGCCACTGGTAGATCTCCTATGGAAAGCGTCACGTTTCTCTGCCGCAGACTGGAAAACCTGCTTGGAATGCCGCCGAATTTCAGCGGCGATAGTGTCGCCATGTTTGGTGAAGAACTGGAAAATCCCTTCTCCAGTCACACTGCGTCTGTTCAGAGAAAATAGAGGTAAATCAACTCCAATAACTCTTTTTATTATATCGGCAGTTCCGTGAGCAGGTAAGATAAACCAAATCCTGCGCTGTGATTGGCTACCCGCGCGGGCAAGATGGGGCGATCTTGCCCGATCGGGACTACCCTTTGTGTCCCGCAAGAGAAATTTCCCCAAAAGCCATATGTAAGAAAATCTTTTATTGACCAAGCTTGTTCGGTCAAGAAGGCTGGACATTGGCCTCGTTCTTTTTTTGCGAGTTTATGGACCTCGACTCCGTCTCGGTCCATAAACACGCAAAAAAAATAAACTTGGCTAGTATCCAGCCATCTTGACCTCACGCTTGGTCAATACCAATACATCATATCATGATAACTACCTAGATGGGATGCTAATAAATAGAGCCTCTGCATTTTGTTGGGAAACCCTAACAAGTCTCTAGTGCCCAGTACAACTGCCAAAGTCCATTTAAACTCCTCGATCAGAGGCGGATCCAGGATTTTTCTTAGGAGGGGGTGCACCACTAAAGAATGGCGTAACTGACTGGTGAGGTAAACAAATTTTAAAAGCAACTACAAAGAAGAAGGCTTCATCTCAGGGGGGGGGGGCACCCTCCCCCTAGATCCACCCCCGTTGATGGAGAGGGAGGAAACTGCCTTGTCCAAGGATACAACTCATAGACCCAGCCAGAGATTTAATACTAGCTTAGAGCATGACTTGCTAAAGGACTGTTGTGGCCTGCACTTAATAACATCACTATGTTGGAAAAGTAATTTCCAATAGTAACTAGATAGTCTTTGCTTGAAATTTAGCCTGAATGTAGGTATCAAAAAAGGCAATGACCTTCCTTTGACAACGCAGGAAGAACTTTGGATGTCTGTTTGGAAGCTACTGAAACTTGTAAAACACAAACACTTTTGCTGCATTTCACATAGCCCTGTGCCTCTAAGATTGCCATGAGACTTGAGTATTTATGCCAAATTTCGTCAAAGGTGATGACGTCAGAAGTGGAATAAAGGCCAATGCTTGTCATGGCTGGTTACGGGCAGCACAGAAGTCAATGGGTTAAGCATTAGTGCTTTCCAAACGTTAAATTATTAAATTTAGGATGACTAGTTTTTCCTGGAAATTGTAAGACATGCTCAGTTCCTGTTACAAATCAGTTTTTCACCTGCCAACTTTGAGTGTGAGAAGCTGCATGTCCTTCACTCCTGCACTAGCTGCAGGTTCACTCTTGAATCCCCTTATTTGACCTACAGACCAAGTGACCACGGTCTGGCTCCTGTCCACAGCAGATTGGAGGGACACTTCCTCCTCAGTAATACACAGGATGTAGTCCCCCCTGATGTTGTTATTTTCTGAGTGTGGAGTCAGCCTCGTGGTGACAAAATAACCTGTCAATCAAACAATATGAAGTGGAAGGTCAGACCCTACGAACATGTTTGAGATAAAATGTAATTTTGGAGTCATCATTACTAGATGTGCGCACAAAAATTTTGTGCTGGAATTAAATCAGACTAGAAAAATTCCTCCAAATACTACAAAAAAAGCAATAAATTCCTTACAGTTTGGTTTCCATGGTAACCAAGCCAACAAAAACAGAAAAGGTAATTCTGGATTCAACCATGTTTGGATACAGCATGTCTTTGGAGTCATTATGCAAGATAGGCAAGAAGGATCTTATAAGATATTAGAATATAGCTCCTGCCTACCCACCACTGGAGCCGAGCAAGCATTATTTTTATTGTATAACGTGTCGTATTATTCTTTCATTTTGATTGGTTATTACAAGTACTTGTGTTCGACTCGTGCATCCATTAGCAGTTTTCTTAGACCTTAGGCATACATTGTTTTCTTAGAAAACAAGGAACACCATCCTCTTTTTGGTAATCACAGATATTGACAAGATCTTATACATTCTTCAGGATCTGAACTAGCATACCACTCAATAATCAGGATTCTAAGCCTAAGTAAGGGGTCCTATAGGATTCTGATACTGTAGCATCCTCAATGTAGGATTTCAACCAAGAAAAACATGATGAGTATTCGCTAAAAAACAGCCAAAAATTCCTTGCGCCAACCTGGTTGTATAGCTGTCTTGGCGTTAACCTGTGAAGCATCACCCAAGTTGTGGCATGATCTTGAATGCACACTTAACAGGTCAGAGGTTGCACGCCTTTTTAGCTCAGGAGTAGATGCGGGACTATCGTCATTAGGGACTTGTGCCCATATTTCAGAGGAGCTAGTTCCGCCTACTTTGACAACAACTTTGTTTATAGCTCCTAACCAGTCTTTTATGGCTTTTTCAGTGTCACAAGCCAAAGTGATGGCTCCTTGCTTGCTACACACAATCATTATTGGGTAACAGTGGCTCTTTGAGCTGTGAGCTTCACCAATGTAGACAATGCTATCCAGGTGGAAGGAATATTCCATTGGCTTTTGCAATTCAAATGCATTTTCATCTTTATAGTACTCCAGTCTTTGGCTCAAATTCTGTGTCTTGTTGCGCAAAACAAAAAATTTACTTTGCCATGCCTGTAACAAGAGAACAGAAAAATCAGATCTAGTCTTTTCCAAAGTGCTGGAATTGCATGCCCAAAAATTAATGACAAAATTACAGCTTCACTTTGATAAGTAAAGATTAATAAGATAAAGATTTAAAGCCATTTTCAATTGAGTGTCTAAAACCAGAACAAACCGATTACAATTAGACTACTCACCCTTTCAACACTCATTTGAAAACTGCTCTAAAAATGACATGATACAGAATCAATCACGATTACACAATAATTAATCAATTCAATAAATTACTGACCTTAGGCTTCAAACAGCAGGAATTTTCATCAGGAAAGTTCATTTGCAAGTTCTAATTTATCCCAATAAAGGATGAATTTGTGTTTGATACCAAACACATATATTATAAAATTAAACAGTACAATTTTAGCAGCAAACTGATGAAAACCATTACTATTATCACAGAGAGAAAGACATATTATATGCTGGGGGGGGGGGATACCTTCCTATAAATTTTGCTTTAATAAATTCACAATCCCACCCAACACCTCAGATCTCATCTCAAAATAACATGTTTGCACACACAAGTTGTGTAGCCTCAGAAAGAGAAAACATACATTCTGCTGTGTAGCGAGAAAAGCAAGACACACTTAGGCCAGCGTGCCCACACAGTGGAGCATATCTCAGTTTAAAAGCTATTAGGAGTATTGCTAATCTGTCCCCTCCTTGGCATTGAATGCAAATCCATTGCAGACTACACCTTCTCCAAGCATGTTATCCATTCCCCCAGTTACCACAACAGGTTGCTAATGAATGGTCCTGCAAAAATAGCCATACCCTCCCATACCATGGGCAGCGCGACAGAATTCCAAAGGAGAAGGGGGTTCCAGAAACTGGAGCACCAAGGGCATGGGGGTAGGGGGGGCCATTTGGAACAGTTTGAAACTCTGAAAGCAAGGGAAGGGTGGTTGAGGATTTTGGAATTTCCAAAGCCAAGGGGGTGGGGGTGGAGGGTTTAGATGGGGATGCTGCCCTTGGTATGGTATTGTTAATATTTTCTGGAATCACCCAATACCACTTTACTTTCCTGGATCATGGAAAGAAAGGGATTGTTAACCGTCTTGCCGTGGCCAGTATGGGAACCCAGATCGGTTGTCTGGGAGTTACACACATTTTATAATCATTATTCTGACCTGCTTCCCACAAAATACATGTATATTGCATATTACAGCATGATTAATGTTTCTCCAAGTTTAAAATCAAGGCATGTAGAGTAATCTAGATGGGCATTAACTTATTTGCTAATTTAGCAAGGAGAGCTTCAATTGATGAGGAATGCATGTCAACAGCTTGACACAAAATTGTTACTGAACTATATTTAAAGACCCAAATCCAATTTAAACTAAATTGTAAATTTAATGTTACGGACACTTTCCACTAAATCTAAGTCACACGAAAGATTATTGACCTCGGTGTGTTGGGATATTTTCAGATGATCCACATACATCCAAAGATACCTGTAAATATTTATCTTGTGAAGACACTTCAAAGATTTTCATAGACATTTTGAATATTTTCCAGTCCCAGGACCCAAGATGTGTTTCACAAAAAAAATTCTGTCACCAGAGGTGTTACACCTTAAAAATTGAACTGAAGAAAGTGGACCATCATCTATATGAATCTTTCTTTACTTCTATTGGTTCAAGTTTATAGATGTTTTGAAATGTGTTAGTAAAGGCTATATGTGGTGAGCCATGAGAAATTGGATCATAAGTGTGAGTAGGCATTAGATCAAGGCTTTTACAAGAAAGGCTGTACAAGAAAAAGACAAAAGTTGAGGATACGAGAAAGAAACATGTCTGACAGGAAAACATGCTCAGGTTTGAAAAGGAGAAAAGAAGGTCCAATAGAGGTTTGGTGGAATGCAGGATGAAACAAAAAATGGAAACAGGATGCAGCACAAAATACTTTTTGCTAATTTTAACTGGCAAGATGCAGGAGAATTTTAAAATATTTGATGAAAAACAGAAAATCACAGCTTACATTCTACATAACACAGAGAGCCGTGACTCTAACTAGGATCAGGTCGGCGTCGACAAAACCAGGATTGGATCGGACCGGATCACGGATCAGATCACGGATCGGATAACGGATCAGATAACGGATCGGATCACGGACCGGATCACAGACCGGATCACAGACTGGATCACAGACTGGATCACGGATCGGATCACAAATCGGATCACGGATCGGATCAAGGAAAAAAATTCAAAATTCAAAATTTTGTTGAGCAAATTACACTAGAGTGACTATTGGGAGCAGAACGTTTTATTTAATTCAGGTGTGATATTCCTTTATTCTTTTAT